TTGTAAATCAACTATACTTCAATTAAAAAAATACACAAAGAATTCCCAAAACTCAACGACAATAAAACACCCATTAAAAAATCGGCAAAAGACCTTAGCAGACACCTTACAAAGAAAATATGCAGATGTGGCAAACAAGCATATGAAAAAAGCTCCACAACTTAAGTCGTCAGGGAAACGTGAATTAAAACAATGAGATACCACTCAATACTTAATTAGAATGGCCAAAATTCAGAAAACTGACAACATCAAATGCTGGTGAGGATGTGGACCACAGGAATTCTTACTCATTGCTGGTGGGAATGCAAAATGGTATAGCTTCTTTGGAGATATTTTGGTGGTTTGTTACAAAACCTGCCATACGATCCAGCAATCGCCCTCCTTGGTACTTCGCCAAAGGAGTTGAAAACCCAGGTCCACACAAAAGCCTGCACACAGATGTTTATAGCAGCTTTATTAAAAACTGCCAGAATCTGGAAGCAATCAAGATGTCCTTCAGTAGGTGGACAAATAGATTGTGGTATATTAGACAATGGGATACTTTCAGCGCTAAAAAGAAACGAGCTATGAAGCCTTGAAAAGACATGGAGGAAACTTAAATGCTTATTATTAGGTAAAAGAAATCGATCTGAAAAGGCTACGTCCTGTATGATTCTAACTATATGACATTCTGGAAAAGGCAAAACTATGGAGACAGTAGAGTTCAGTTTTTGCCAGAGGTTAGGGAGAGGGGAGGAATGAATAGGAGGAGCACAGAGGATTTTTAGGGCAGTAAAGAAACTCTGTATGGTATAATGATGGATACGCGTGTTATACATTTGTTCAAACCCATATAATGTACACCACTAAGAGGTAAACAAGCTAACTTTGGACTTTGAGTGATTATTGTGAACGAAAAATACTGCAAACCGTATCAGTAAACAAAGAATGCTGGAGCCATCAAGTCATCAGCTGCTGCCACCAACCCCTGAGTGGAGACAAGCCTGCAGCCCGGCCTCTGCAGCCACCCACAGTGGAGCACTCTGAGGGGACTCAGAACAAGAAAGGACAGGATACTCGCCCTAGATAGCTAGTTGCTTGTCAAAGGAATGATTTCAATGAGCTCAAATGTTTGCTTCCTCCCATACATAGAAAAGTGCTAAATTATTTAACTTGAGCTGTCTGGTTTTCTTCAGTCAACAAGTAATCTTTTGATGTTCCAGCTACCTGGTTTTTGTTGTAAAACTCTTACATATCCTGGCTTCTCCCTACCTCTTCGGGGCAGTTTCTCAGAGTGATCTGAGAGGCTGTCATCCTGGCTTGAGTCCTCCTGCCAAATAAAACATAACTTTCAATTTTTAGGTTGTGCATTTATTTCAGTCGACATTATGATGTGTCAATGTAAGTTTACCCATTATAACAAATGTACCACTCTGTGGGGGATGTTGATGAATGGGGCGGTTATACATGTAGGAGGGGGGCAGGGGGTAAATGGAAATCTCTGTGTCTTCCTCTCAATCTCAATTTTGTTGTGAAGCTAATACTGCTCTAAAAAAAAAAGCCTTAAAAAAATTGGTCCTAGAATAGAGGATCAGAATACGAGTTTTAACACGATTTGGACATGATCTGTCAAGTATAAAGGATCCTAATATGAGTTTAAAGGATTTTAATGTAACTTAGTTTTGAAAGCATTTTTTGATGGACACACAAGAAAATTAAAATGATGCTGAAGGCAACACACACACACAGACACAAACACACACACACGTCATATCTCCCCAACTGCTATCCCCCAGTCGCCTAGGTTATTTACCCAGAAACCAGTTATTCTCTTCCCTGAAAAATACTAGTCTTTTTAGTAAAATACAAATCTATGCTTATATTTAGTCATTGGTGTATGTTGTTTTATCAGTAAAAGAGCTCAGGCCACAGACTTGGAGAAAATATTTGCAATATCTGATAGAAGACTTGCATCTGGAATATACAAAGAACCCTTAAAACTCAACAAGAAGAAAATGGATAATTTAAAAATGTGCAGAATCTATGAAAACGAATATATGTATGTATATGCAAGACTGAGACATTATGCTGTAAACCAGAAATTGACACACCATAATTGACTGTACGTCAATTAAAAAATGTGCAAAATCTGAACAGATAATTCATTAAAGACACTATACAGATGGTGCATGAAAAAGCATATAGAAAGATACTCAATATCATATGTAATTAGGGAAATACAAATAAAAAGCAATATACCATTACACATCTATTTGAATAATTAAAATAAAAACTGGTAATACCAAGTACTGGTGAGGATGTGGAGCAACAGGAACTATAGGTCTGTTAGGGCTGCTGTAAGAATAGCGCACCAGCTGGGTAGTTTGTAAACAGGAAGTTACTGCTCATAGTTTTGGAGGCTGGACATCCAAGATCACTGCACCAGCAAGGCTGGGTAAGGACTTTCTTCCTGGCTCATGGCTGGTACTTCCTGGCTATGTGCTCACACAATGCAAAGGGCTTGGGATCTCTCTGAAACCTCTTTTTAAAGGCACTATGATATTGTGATTCACAATAAGAAATATTTATTTGGTCTTCCTTCCTTTTCCTGCCACAGAGTTACTAAAACCTTTGGAATTTCCTAAGTGATGAAAGCGATAGAAGTGTCTTTCGTTATGTTAATGAGGTGACTTTTGGAAAGCCCCAGCTACCCTAAGGATGAGGGCTGGTCACAGGAGGAACCTACCATGTGATTAGGGGCTTTTTTACTTTCAGTCCCACCTCCATGACTTCCATGGAGGGGACAGGGGCTGGAGGTAGATAACTGCTAATGGCCAATGGCTGAATCAATGATGCCTATGTAATGAAGCCTCCATAAAAACCCAAAAGGATGGGGTTTGGAGTTTTCAGGCTGGTGAACACATGGAGGTGCTGGGAGAGTGGTGTCTTTTCTCATATACTTCGACCTATGCATCTCTTCCATCTGGATGCTCACCTGTATCCTTTATCATACTCTTTTATAATAAACTGGGAAACAGTAAGCAAACTGTTTTCCTGAGTTCTGTGAGTCACTCTAGCAAATTAATCTGGAGGGTGTCCTGGAACCACCGATTTATAGCTGATCAGTCTGAAGCATAAGTGACAACCTTGATTTGTGATTGGCACCTGAAGTTGGAGGGGTATTCTTGTGAGACTAAACCCTCAATGTGGGATCTGATGTGATCTCCAGGTAGAGACAGAAGATAGTGTCAGAACTGAGTTGAACTGAGGCCCCTCGGGTGGTGTCAGAGAAGTGCGTGGCAGTGTGGAAAAAACCCACACCTTACGAACTGGGAACAGGATTGCAGGCACTCATCCCACTCATTAGGGCCCCACTCTCATGACTTAAGTACTTCCCAAAGGCCCCATCTCCAAATACCATCACATTGGGCATTAGGATTTCAACATATGAATTTTGAGGGAACACAACATTCAGACCAGGGCAGAAACACTCATTCCTTGTTGGCAGGAGTGCAAAAGAGCACAGCCACTACAGAAGATAATGTCTCCGCCTTTTGAGTGTCAAACAGAATGTGGACATTTGAAAACCATCACAGTTGACTTTCTAAACACTAATTATCCACATTCCTCCCACATACAAAATAAACTCCCTCCCATCCCAGTCTCATTCCATTACAGAATCAGGGTAAAATCCAGAATCTCATCTAAATCAGGGCCAGGTCTGGCTGAGGCTCCTGGCGTGCATTTATGTAAGTGAAGCTCTTCAAGTACAGTTTCTCCTGGACTGAAGGCCTGTGAAGTACAGAGATGAGTTATCTGTCTCCACAGGCAGGACAGGCACAGGATAATTTTCATACACAATTAAAAAGGGAGAAATGGGAGGCACAAAGAGTCACTGCTTTATAGCAATGTTCAAATATAGCCAGGCAAATTGAAATTTGTCATCTTTTTCCATCTCTCAACCCCAACTTCCACCCCAGACCCTGTACCCTCTTCGACATTTCAACTATCTTGGTAAGAGGCGCCTCTGCTAGAACAGGGGAGTCCATCAGGGAGGAGATACTAGTCAGTGCGAGGAGTCCGTGGGGGGCAGGGGTGGGCAAGTCTCCCCACCTCCTCACATTATGCTAATAGGGCAAGACAATTTCAGATGCTCTTTGCATAAGAGGAGTCAGGGACTCTGAAGTCACAATGTTGGATGGGGGTAGGTTGTAAACAAATCTAGCATCACCGTACATCCTCTGGTAGGTCTGAGACCCTGACGCCCCCCCGCCCCCCACAGTGAATAAACCGAAACTGAAAATGAAACCGGGTCAAAGTCCCGCCGGCTCTTCCTGTGTCGAGAGTCGGGCGGGTTCCGCAATGTCGGGGTGACCTTCGAACCCGGAGACTCGAGGTACCCCAGCCCGTCCCTGGGGAGGGGGTCGTGAGCTGGACCCGGGCCCGCGCCGCTCACCGGCCTCGCTCTGGTTGTAGTAGCCGCGCAGGGTGTTCAGGCCCACTCGGTACCAGTGTGCGTTGCCCTTCGCATTCCGTGTCTCCCGTTCCCAATACTCCGGCCCCTCCTGCCCCACCCACCGCGCCCGTGGCTCCATCCTCGGATTCGGGGCGTCACTATCGAAGCGCACGAACTGCGTGTCATCCACGTAGCCGACTTCCACGTACCAGGTCTCCCCGAGGCCAGGCCGGGATACCCCCGTTTCCGAAATACCTCTTGGAGTGGGAATCTGGGGGCGGGGAGGGGGTGAGACCCGGCCCGACCCTCCTCCGGGCGCGGGTCCCAGGATCTGATGTTGAAGGGGCGGAAGCGGGGCGGGGATGAGGGGGCTAGTGAGACGGAAAAGTGGTGGCAGTTCGAAAAAGAGCCAGGACCTCGGGGTGGGAGAGAGGAGAGGGCGGGCTAGAGGTGGGGTGACGGGTCTGGGCAGGGGGCGGAGACGTCGCACTTTCCCCGGGGGTCCTGCCCTCGCTACCCCGGGGCGGGCCCCTCGCTCCTCCCCCGCAGAGGCCGTTCACTCCCGACCCCGCACTCACCCGCCCAGGTCTGGGTCAGGGCCAGGGCCCCCGAGAGCAGCAGGAGGAGGGCTCGGGACTCCCAGATCCCCATCAGAGTCTGCGAGAAGCAGAGTGAGGACCGGTCCATGCGGACTTCATAACCGGGAACCGATTGGCTTTTGTAGAAACCCGACACCAAAGAGAGTGAGAACTGGGACCGCGTCACGAGTGTCCAGGCCGGAAGGCCCGGGGAGAAGGGAACCCCCAGCACCGAGCGTTCTCGCCCCAGACCCCGCCCTCGGTGAGACCCCCGAGAGCCACTCCCTCCCGGGGACCTGGGACTTTGCCCTGATCGCTCCCCTCCTGCACCGAGAGCTCTTCGTCACCAAGTCTCACTGAGTCCTGGCCCAGGGGCTAATTCAGCGATTTTCAAAGTTTTTGGTCAGAATATCTATATAGTCATCCAAATTAGGAACACCTCAAGGATATTTTCTATCGATATTTTCCATACTAGGAATAATACTGTTAAATTAAAAACATTGTAATAACCTCTAATGGAAAAAAAACATGAAAACGAGTATATGTATGTATATACAAAACTGGGACATAGTGCTGTACACAAGAGACTGACACATTGTAATTGACAGTACTTCTATGAAGGAAAAGCCCAGCTGGGCTAACAAGCTAACTCACAAATCTAAGTGTAACAAGTGTCGGATTACTGATCTGAGTTCTGCTGGGTTAACTTGTAAATCTGAGTTAATTATTGTTGGTTTGCTGATTCCCTGTTCATGTTTTTTCACTAGCCAGCTGGATTTTCAAAGAGACATATCTGG